TGGACTGCAAGGAGAACAAACCTATCAATTCTAAAGGAAATGAAACCTGAGTGCTCACTGGAAGGACAGATCCTGAAGCTGAGGCTCCAGTACTTTGGCCATCTCATGAGAAGACTCCTTGGAAAAGACCTTGATGTTGGGAAAGTGTGAAGGCAAGAGGAGAAGGGGATGACAGAGGATGAGATGGTTGGACAGTGTCATCAAAGCAACCAACATGAATTTGACACAACTCCGGGAGGCAGTGGAAGATAGGAGGGCCTGGCATGCTCTGGTCCATGGGGTCAAGAAGAGTCGGACACGACTAAACAACGACTATCCTGGCACTTAAATTTAGATAAAGAAGTTGATGTACATTTAATTCTGAACCCCTCTGACATATACAGCAGTTACTGTAAAGATCGGGACTCTCTGATTATCATATTCATACATGGACACATTATACCCTAATGATTGTGATGACTTGCATTGCCACTTTAGAAACTAAAATGCTATGCCATAGCATGGCACCATTTGTCCATCCTTTTCACACACAGCAGATGTTGTAAGAAAGGCAATACAATGGAAATTTACTTTAATTCACTTTAATTGTTTTTTTTACTATACACAAAGAAAATATGAGGTAGTCTTGAAGTAGCTCTACTGAAAACACACAAAAATTGTTTCTTCCAGCAGTCCCTGACAAGATTTTTTTAAAAAAAGATCCAGGACAAAACATATATTGTGCTACTGTGAAGTGATAAAAGGATATCCTATGAGGTACTTTGCTCCTGTGAAAAGTTATTACCAACAGACAAAGCACAGGTGTTTTTCAGTAGTTGGCAAGTACTATTATCCTTAACCAATGACTTCTTTGATCCAAGACAAAACCTGCATGTTTATTTCCAATAGGATGTCATCTGTAGCCCGTCCTTTCACCACCATGCTGTGGTTTGCCTTTTCTATCCAGTGAATTTTCTTAGGTCCTTCCATTTTGCCTGCAACATCTTCCAAGAGTTGCTATTATAAGAAAGGGGGAAAAACAGAGACACCTTTTCAATCCATCAAAAATTCAGTTCCAACGGAAACATTACTTTGACAATGAACTGCGGGACAGCTCAGTGGTTTAAATCTCTGGCTCTGGGAACAGCAGTTGGGAGTCTGATTTCCTACTGTGCCTCCTTGACAGGAGCTGGACTCGATGATCCATAGGGTCCTTTCCATCTCTGCAGTTCTCAGATTATGATGATGACACAGTTGCTAATTTTGAACATAACATGTTCCTAATCCTAATTTACAGACTCCTGGGGCTTCAGGGGATCTGTGAACTGAACACACAAAAATGATTTTTTTTTCCCCTTTAATTTCCCACCTATTACATTGGTGGCCTGGCGTTTGTTTGGCTGCAATCCTTCTTGGAGGACCGCCCTCAGAGAGTACAGCTTGGGGAGAGGGCCTCGGCCCCGTGGAGCCTCAATTGTGGGGTCCCGCAGGGCTTGATAATCTCCCCAATGCTGTTTAATATCTATATGAGGCCGCTGGGAGGAGGCATCAGGGGATGTGGGGCGTCGTGTCATCAATACGCTGATGACACGCACCTCTACATCTCCTTTTCATCAACTACAGCGATGCCGTTCTGCCCCTTCAGCACTGCTTGGAGGCTGTACTGCAATGGATGCAGGAAAATGGGTTGAGGCTGAACCCAGAAAAGACAGAGGTACTGAGGGTGGGTGGCCCCACCATCAGCGGTTTGAGATGGTGGGGTGACTCTCACCGCGAAGAGTGAGGTTCAGAGCTTAGGGATACATCTGGACCCAGCGCTCATCATGGAAACCCAGGTGGCGTCAGTGATCCGATCCACCTACTTCCACCTTTGGCAGATTGCCCAGCTACATACCTACCTTGATGTTGGGGCGCTCACCACTTTAGTGCATGCGCTTGTAATCTCGAGATTAGATCACTGTAATGCACTCTACATGGGGCTACCTTTGAGACTGATGCGGAAGCTTCAAATGGTGCAGAATGCGGTGGCCAGACTTCTTACTGGGGTGAGGAAACACCAGCATCTCTCTCCCACTCTGGCCACATTGCATTCGCTGCCCGTGCGCTTCCGCGTTGATTTCAAAGTTTTAATGATCACATATAAAGTCATAAACAGTTTAGGACCTCGCTATCTGATGGAACACCTTCTCCCACCAAAATCTACCCATATCACTCGATCTAGCCAGGAGGTGTAACTGAGGAGCCTAACACCGAGACAGGCCTGAAAGGAAAAAACAAGAAACCGGGCCTTTTTGGCAGTCGCTCCTCCGTCATGGAATAATCTACCTCCAGAGATCCGTATGGCCCCTTCGCTGGGTATTTTTAAAAGCCAATTAAAAACTTGGTTATTCAGGCAGGCCTCTATCTTCTTTATTTTTTTTTCATCTTGAATTACTGAATCTTGATAATGATGCTATTTTAATTGTTTATTTTGTATGTTGTACGCCGCCCAGAGTAGTCGAACGACTAGATGGGCGGGATATAAATATAATAAATAAATAAATTCAGAATTGTCCTAATGAAAAAATCCAGACACACAACTCGTATCAGGTGCTAGAAACTTTAACTTAGTGTCTTCTTGATTGCATTTGATGAGGAAGAACAGATATTTAACTTACATTAATTAAAAGCTTCCTAACCCCCCAGTTCATGCTGCTCTCCCTCGGGCGCCCTTTTGCCTGGGGGGATAGGACATGTTTAATTAGTGTTAAGTTAAATGTTTCTGATCTGAGTTGCACTAGGGCAAAGTTATGCAAAAGGATTTTGCCCATTACTTGGCATTGACTCATCTTTGTGCATTTTCATCAACTTGATTCACATTTTCCTCCTTGAAACTGGTGAATTTGCATAAAAAAACCAATATACAGTCCATTTTTAGAATTTGGGTTAGGAAATATATTTTCTCTACTATAAGATATATAGATAGATATAGATATATACCCAATAAGTAAGTGTAGGAAAGAGAGGTGGGGAGGAAAACTCATAAGTAATTAAAGCATTGTGTTGTTAATTTGAAGGTGGTAATCTGTAAGGCAAAAGCCCTTGCCTGAAACTCCTGTCAACAGTGTATGAAAGCATACATTTCTATTAGAATTTCTTCACATTTAAGTAAGGTTGGTATTTTGTCTGTATTTCAGCGCCTCTAGGAACTCACTTGGTCACACATCTCATCTGCAGTTCCAGACACAAAGAGCACAGGGGACTTAATAAACAAAAAATCTTCATCTCGCAGTTTAGTCTGAAGCTTTGGTCGATGCAGTGGGTAAGACAAACATATCAGACCTTGAATGAAGCTGTCACTATCTTGATCAGCTTGACGTGTCACAGAGGCAGCAGCACGTGAGCCCATTGAACGACCTATCCCATTAGAAATGAAGGATGAAGAAGTCAGGCCTTTACGTATTCTGCTTGAACAGCACTCCAATAGACATGCAGTACAATATTATACTGAGCGCCATTAGAAATCAAGGATGAAGAAGTCAGGCCTTTACATATTCTGCTTGAACAACAGCACTCCTATAGACATGCAGTACAATATTATACTGAGCCGAACAACAAATGTTACCATTGTACAAATACAGGTTTGAACTGACTGTTGACTGTGATCTTTAGGTTCTCAAAGTGAGGACAAATGTGTACTTTTTTTAAATTTAGCATCAGTAGCCTAAATTTGTATTTAGAAGTCTTAATACAGATTTTGTTCTTTTAATATCCTACCTTCCCTCACAAAATAGATCAAGGAAGCATATATGGATTTCTTTCATCCCGTTTCTACCTGGCAATGAGGAAAGCCAGGTTGAGAGACAGGACAAATGCACAGTATAGTCTCTGGAATTCAGGATTTCCTGTTTAAATCTGAAATGTTTCTCACTTCCCTGAGTTCTAGGGGTAGTTCAGGGAACTGTTTAATTTTTGTTTTACTTGTTCATAAAGCAGCATAAATTTTTACTTACCTCCAAGAAAAATACCAGAAAGTCTGTAGTCACTTGATGATCTTAAATACTCCTTTAAAAAGAATTTTGCAACTTTTAAAATAATTTAGAAAAATTGAAATAGTACATTGTAAATGATCAGTAACTGAAACAAATAACTCCTATCATCTTTAGGCATAAGTTAAATGTGTACACTGTTAAAAGTTTGCACTGCCCTAGATATATGTGATCTACCTGATAGCTATTTTAACCTAATCAGTAGATATGAGGGTTTTGTTACACTTAACAGAAAATGCTTCCAGTTTAGCTACTTTGTAGAAAAGTCAATCTATTTGCCAGGGTTGAACTGAACATATAGTCATGTAGGAAAAAAGTACACCTCTTTGAATTCTATGGTTTTACGTACCAGGAGATAACAAAAATTATTTGGTCCTTAGCAGGTCTGAAAATTAGGTAAATACATCCTCAGTGAACAACGACATGAAACATTACAGCATGACATGATTTACTGAATAAAAATAAAGCCAAAACGGCAAAGCTGTGTGTGAAAAACTAAGTACACGAACAACAACATGATACATTACAGCATGACATGATTTATTTAATAAAAATAAAGCCAAAATGGCAAAGCTGTGTGTGAAAAACTAAGTACACCTTATGATTCAGTAGCTTGTAGAACCGACTTTAGCATCTTGATTCTTTTCTTTTTCAGCCATTCTGTTGTAGATTTGTATTATGGCCAAACATCCTCACTTTGGTCTCATCTGCCCAAAGGACACTGTTCTAGTTTTGTGGTTTGTCCAGATGATACCTAAGCCATGCTGCCGTGTTCTTTTTAGAGAGAAGAGGCTTTCTCGTGGCAAACCTTCCAAACAAACCATAATTGTTCAGTCTTTTTCTAATTGTACTGTCATGAACTTCAACATTTAACATGCTAGCTGAGGCCTGTAGAGCATGAGATGTAACTCTCTGGTTTTCTGCAAATTCTCTGAGCACTGCACGGTCTGACCTTGGAGTGAATTTGTTTTGAATCTGTTCCTGGGAAGATTGGCACCTATCTTGAATGTTTTCCATTTGAGAATAATCTTCCTCGTTGTAGAATGATAGAGTTTAAATTGCTTGGAAATGACCTTTTAATCCTTCCCAGATTGATGGGCAGCAACAGTTGCTTCTTTACAATCGTTGATGTGTTTCCTCCTTGGCATTGTGTTAACACACACCTGAACACTCCAGACTAGCAAACTGCTAAAACATCGGCTTTTATAGAGGTGGTCACACTTGCTGAAGGGCATTTGGTTAGCAGCACCTGGCTACTACTTAGCCTAATTCCTATGGAAGCAATAAGGGTGTACGTAGTTTTTCACACATGGATTCTCCATGTTGGTTTTATTTTTGTTAAATAAATCATGGCACGGTGTAATATGTCATGTGTTGTTGTTCATCTGAGTTTGTATTTACTAATTTTCAAACATGCTAAGAACCAGAGGATTTTTATTATGTCCTGATACGTAAAAACCACATAATTCAAAGAGGGTATACTTTCTTTTTCACAGGACTGTATAATGTCTAGATATCAATTGGCTAGAAGACATGTATAGGATACATGTTGTTCTAAACCACTTCAGATGGTCTATCATAACCAAGTGATATTTCTTTATCCTTCCTAAACTTAAATGCAAAGCTTGTCTTACATACCACAACTGCCTTATACGCTTTAGCCCTATGGATGATGTTAAGGCTTTTGCAGGTAAAGCGCAGGCACAGTAGTCCATGAGATACCAAATAGTTTGCTAAAGACACAAGGTGAGAGAAATTCATATCACCAGATGCTCCATGAGTAAGAATCACAGCGTATGGTAGTATCTTGTCAGGGAGAGATAAAATAGCATCTAGATATTTGTTTCCAAAGGGTATTTTCACATTTGTCTAGAAATAAAAATACTGAAATTAGCAGATATAGTATACTTAAAGCCTACATACAAAATATACATAGACATTGTTTGGTGCTTTGATGCAGGAAAAATACCTGCATCCTAAAAGGCAACAAAACATTTAACTGCTATTAAGAACATGCCTATTCAGATCATAAATTCTCTCTTCTTTTCAGTCATATAAAGCAACATCTCTAGAGACAACATGAGATTCATTGATCCATAACATTAATTTTCCTAAGTGAATGCAGTGAAACACGAGTTTTAAGGAATCTTGCCAACTCCACACTATGAACACTATATAAGCAGGTCCTTTTTTTCTTTTTCAGCTGCAGGTTACCAACTTGAGTCAGTGCAAACATACCTGCAAGTGGTCTGTGTGTGTGTGTGTGTGTGTGTGTGTGTGTGTACGTACACACTATTAACTTTCATGACCTTATTCTCAGGTTTATTTTTATTGCCTTGTAATCATTTGCATATCCACTCAAAAGCAAACCTTAAAACCTAACAAAATTATCATGGGATAAGTATTTGTAAACTTGAGTCCACTTCATCAGACATAGCAACTCCTCACTAGAATATATTCAAAAGAAAGCCCTATCAACATAAGTGGTAGTTTTAAGTGTGACACAGGGCAGCTTTACCCTCATAATTGCTTACAGTACTATAATCCTGCATTTATAACATACCTCTGTATAGTCACTCATCATCTTTTCATAATCTTGCAAGTTTGTGTCTAAGAAACTTTGAGAGCTCACTGTAAGGAAATCAAACCAAATATTAATAACTGAAATCCAGCCCTGCATGTACAAACACTGATTGCTAGGGAATGATAAAGAGGTCCCACTGTTTGACCCCAAAACTCAGTGCTGAGACATCTACCGCCACCCAAGCTTATCAGGCTCTCATAGTCCTTCTCCCAGCTTTGTATTCAGAGTCCAAACTACACAAATTTTCTGGAGATTAAACTAGTATGTGTCTATTGACAGTGTTTATAGAATCCACAAAAACTTCTCATACTTTGTGGGATGAAAAAAATATATCACTATGTTCTCATTAAAGACACCAGCATTTTTATGTATTAAAAATTCAAAACAAGCACATAAAAATGACTAGCTCTAATTATATCTAAGCAATTTGCTCACAGTATTAATAATACAGTATATCTCATTCTGAGGAGCACCACATCTTCCTTTTTCATATTCCCAACTTCAGATATTGCTGATGTACTATAACTATCTTAGGTTACAAAATTAATGGTATGGGAAGTAGCATTAAATGGCCACAAAATAGCTTTACTATAGGAATGGAAAGCACCACTTGAATTTTCTGCTTCTACCAATCAAGTCTGGATGGCAGACAATAAGAATGAAAGAAGTTGCCTTCAGACAACATTTTGCTTTCACTATTTCTATGAACTGCTCTTCAGGACCATTTACACTTGACTTTGTACCGTCTGTATACCCCTGATGAGAACAGAAATATATCCAACTAAGTTTGCTCTACAGAGGATGATCATCTGAAAATCAGAGGCCAGATTTTGATTTGTTTCCTATTTCAGCCAGTCTGTTCTGGCTGAAAGATACAGAATTCTAAGCAAGAAAATGAATGAATAAAGACCATAAAATCATAAAACACAGTCAGTATCCTGCTGGAGATCTCCACATGGGCAACTATGATGTACAAACAGAATGTACCTGTTGCACTCCTGGATGTGCAACAGATACTTTCCCAAACAGTTCAACAACCTGTGTGTCGGTTCCACATGCAAAAGCCCCCGAAGAGATACTGCACGGAAAACAAAGAAAGCTAGAAATCGGTCAGACTTGCAACCAGCACTAACAAGTACAGGTGATCCTTTGAGCTAAAAGAAATGGTATGAGAAATGCAGGAAGTAAAGGTTTATGGCTGAGTAGGACCACTGAATCACTGGGGATCTGATTAAAAGCTAAAGATTTATATGAGCTGAAGAAAAGACAGACTCCCCCAGTTACTACTCCAGAAGGGGTATGTCAAATATTTCTAATTATTTAGAAACAGGTAGCATAACATTAAATTATATTACCTATTTCCACGTACATTTCTGTACATATAAATAAATAAATAAATAAGGCTTTTAATTGAAATAATATCAGCTGTGGGTCTCATGGCAATTTTTAGAGTATATATTTTTAATTGCATTTTAATTATTTTGCCCTTTTATTTTGCCTTTTTATTGTATTTTAAATGTTGTAAGCCACCCAGAGACCTTTGGGTAGTGTGGGCGGCATATAAGTTAAACAAACAAACAAACAAACACGTTTTATTGAAATACATGTCTCCACCCTTTCCTTTTCGGTGATGAGCCAGTCAAGGGATCCTCCCTGGAGAAGCCTGCCTATTTACAAGAATGTGCCTGTGCATGGGATGGATTTCCTCAGAAGAGCTTAGCAGTGAATATTCCCGTTTTCGAGGCAGGTTCTCCCTGATTTCTTAACGGCACCCTAACCAGACACCACAGATCACTAGATCTTAAGGTTAAAGTTTAAAGGTCACTTGGAGGCTTATCCTATCTCCCAAATAAACCCGTAACGCGCACTCGGCTTCCACTCGCCTGTGTGGTCTCATCTAGAGTAACCACCCCTTCCCTTTTCCGGACCTACTGAGGCGCCAACTCAAAGGCGCCTTTTTGTGAGAAGTACAGGGACTCGCCTTCTCCCCAGCACAGCAAGTTTACTTCCGAAAAAGCAAGCGCCGGATCGTACCTTCTTCCTCCCCCTTTTTTTCTCCGGATGCCGGTGCAAGCGAGACCCTCTGCTTTTACAGGCATGCCGGGAACTGTAGTACAAGCTTCGAGCGAAAGGCAGGGGGAAAAAAGCCGAGGAAATGGAGGACGTGCTTCGCCCCGGCGAGGCGCTTCAGTGTGAAGGGGGGGGGGGAGGTCGATGAGGACGGGAGATATCGCGGATCTTTCGCCTTTTTACTTCCATTAACAGCCCCATCCCCGGGTGGTTTTCCCGTACTGTATTGCCCCTTGTTTTATTATTTGCCGGGAGTTTTCCCTCTAATAGCTGGAAGTAAGTTAGAAGAAGAGGGAGGGCTTGGGAAAGGTAGCGCTAGTGGCAGCCATTGTGACGGCAGCGTTGAGGCATTGTTCCCTGAGCCGGTTACAGAAGGACCCACCACGTTCAGTTTGCACCCCTCGTCTAGTAATAGTTTACGCACCTGCAAAATACTTACTTCCCCCTCGGAGTAGGAAAGGAGTAGCTGGAGGGGAGTCGCTCAGCCCCCATCCCGAGAGTTTTTAAAATGGGGCGACGAAACACGTGATGGATGCTGCCTACTTTTCAGCCATCTTTGTACAACAATGCATCTTTTAATTAGAGAAATACTAATGGAGTGCATGCATTTAGGCACTTCGATAATTGGGGGGGGGGCAGTCTAAGAACTAGTACTACTTGATTCAGCCAAATGTCCGTTCTGGAAAATTTGTAGCAGAAACTTGGAGCGGCCTTGATTGCAACAACAGTCTTTCTAACTAGAATGGGATTGGGGGTGGAAGAGGGTTGGGAGGCTGGCTGTCCTCCTCATCATCATCCTCTCCATCCCCTAAACACTTTTAGAGGGAACTCTGACCTTTTTAGGCTCTGTAAGAGAGAAGCTCCCATTAGGAGTGCTGTATGGTGTCCTGGTTAGAGGATTAAACTGCCTAAGGGAGAAGCTCCCATTAGGAGTGCTGGAGCTGTTGGACAGGTAGTATGGTGTCCTGGTTAGAGGATTAAACTGGGAGGGTCAGGTTGAAGTTCCTACTGTGTAGAAATGTAGGTTATGTTGAGCCAGTCTCTCAGGTTCTGAGGAGAATAACAAGGAGAAGGAGAGGGCCTTGTAAGCCTATAGGAAATGTAGGGTCTAAATGTAATAAATAATAAAACAGTACTATCAAGATGGTAGGCATCAGTGCCCTTTGAGTAAATAAACATAGACTCAAACTACTGGATTACAAACCAGAACCATTCAACAATCATTGTGAAATTATCATTTACATTAAAGGTACAACATCTGTAACTTTAAGCTCACCTCTGAGCATCTCCCACATGCCTATTAGTATATTTGTTGCTATGATTTTTTGAACCAGCAATTACAGTCACATCTCAGAACTAGTTTCTGAGGGGTTGCCAACAAAATATCTAGTGTGCCGACACCTCCCTTGATAGGCTTAAGGGATCAACAATAACAATGCACAGAAATAGCAAAGATTTGTGTGTTTAATATTTACTTGTCAAGAACTCTGCATACAAAGAGTCATATGCATATACTATTAAAGGTGCAACATCTTACTAGAAGTATCTGGAGGTTTTCTTTGTCAGCATTTAAAAGGCAGTAGGTCAGGTGATTGCTCAGCTATTTTGGGCAGTGATCATGAGTTGGAAATCTGTTTGCATCATGGTTTAATGCCTGCTGGGAAATAAACGTGTCCAGAGATCTTAATGTCAACTGACTTCATACTAGTGGAATTTGTTAACACCAAGAGTCAAATCTACAGGCTCTGTAAATGGCTTACCCAAGAAAGGAACTTGGCTGCTGTGATACAGTATCTTCAAGATGACACTTGTTAGCTGTGGCTACAGTACTGAAGAGACAAGAAAAAAATAATCATTAGAGAAAATTATAAGAAAATAAAAACACTGGTACATTGAAAACTAACAGGTTTATTTCTTCATAGCTTTTGTGAATTACAAGCCACTGTCTGAAACATATGGAAGTTAGTTGTTAAACTCTAGGTTTATTTACATACACAGTCCATAGTAAAGGAGTGGGGCCCAAGTGAAATTATAAGTATTCAATTCTTTTAAAAAACCTCTGGTTTTTGAATATGGCCAGGATTCAGAATGCTGGGAAATGGGCTAGTATTGCACAATATTATGCCTGCATTGCCAGCAAGAAAATAGATGCCAAGCTTTACATAGCAAAGGGCAGCCTGAATGTTGAGAACACCAATGGCAGCAGTCAATATGATCTACTCACTACCATTTAAAAAACAAGGGTAAAATCCCAGAAATTAACTTCATTTTTCATTAGTTAACTACTGCTCACCCAAGCACAAAGCTATTGTCAGAGCTTGTAGCGGAATCCAAAAAGGTGATGTCATTCCTGCCTGTCCATCACAGCAGCTAAGGGGGAGGAGTCAAGGATAGAGCAGGAGGGGCGGAGTTAGAGTGACAGTTAGGGAATTGAAGAGACAGTTAGAGACAGTTGGAGTTAGGGAGAGGTAGAAAGAGTCAGGGACCAGAAGATGTACAGAGGGTATTAGGGTTAGGAATAGATTAAAGGGGTTCAGGAGAAAAAATTGAAAGCAAGACACATATAACAAGCAGGAATGAATGTATAAGCATAACAAGAGAGATATAAAATTGACAGTAAAGTGATTGACTGCATGATCTTAAAAGTATTAACACCTGAATGAACTCATATATGATTTTCCTGTTGTTTTGGTTAGTAATAAAAGAATACTTGATCATAAACCCTGCTTCCTAAAGTATATGACCTATTTGGGGTGGCAGCTCCTGTGTGGGACTTGAAGAGGCATTAGAGAATACCTGGTGGCAGCGAAAAGGGCGTGTGTTCCTTTGTGAGGCCCAAAGAAATAAGGGGCCCAAAAGGGCGATCGCCACAAAGGTGTTTTTCAAAAAGTACCTGTCGGCCTAAGATCAATGCCAGGGAAAATTCTAAAGCAGTATATAAAGTTGTTATTCTGCAAGCACTTTGAAAACAGATCAGGAATCCAGAAGTCAACATGGATTTGTCAAGAACAAATCCTGCCAGATTAATCTCATCTCATTTTTTTTATTCAGTAACCTTCCTGTTAGATAGTGAAGATAATATATTTATTTTATTTACCTTCCTGTTAGATAGTGAAGATAATATAGACATAGCTTGACACCAGCAAAGCTTTTGGTGAAGTACCCCATGTTCTGATTAGCAAGCTAACTAACTTAATGAGGGATGGATAGAACAACTATTAGGTAGATACAGAGTTGGTTACAAAATCATAGAGAGTGACTATCAATGGTTCCTTCTCAAACAGGGAGAATGTAGCAAGTGGGATATCACAAGGTTCAGTACTCTTCAACATTTTTATTAATGATTTTGACAAGGGAATGCAGGGAATGTTTATCAAACTGGGTGGAATGGCTAATAGTCTGGAAGACAGAAACAAAATTCAGAAAGTTCTTAATAGGCTCAAGCAATGGGCTGAAAAGAACATAATGAAATTTAACAGGGATAAGTGCAAAGTTCTACACCTAGGAAAAAAGAAACAAAAGCACAGTTACAAGATGGGAGATACATGGCTCAATACTACATGGGAGAGAGATCTGCACATATTAAGCCTTGAGAAAAGACTGAGGAGAGATATGATAGCACTCTTCAAATACTTTAAAGGTAGTCATACAGAGGAGGGACAGGATCTGTTCTTGATTATCCCAGAGTGCAGCGAAAATGGCGGCGCTATGGAGAAACATCGCTTAACGGTGAGTTTTCAAGCCATAGGAACGCATTGAACAAAGTTCAATGCGTTTCTATGGCTTTTTTATACCCGTTTAGCGATGTTTTCGCATAGCGAAGGTTAATCCGGAACGGATTAACCTCGCTATGCGAGGTACCACTGTACTTGAAAGAGCGGCATACAGAAAAGGGGCAACATCTGTTCTTAGTCATCCCAGAGTGCAAAATACATACTAATTTGCTTAAGTTACAGGAAGCCAGATTTTGGTTGAATATCAGGAAAAACTTCTTAACTATTAGAACAAAATGATGGTGGAACAAATTAACTGAGGTGTGGCAAACACTCCAATGCTGGAGGCATCCAAGAGAAAAATAGATAACCATTTGTCAATTATACTTTGATTTGGATTCCTGTACTTAGCAGGGACTTGGACTTGATGGCCTGACATCCCCCTTTCAACTCCATTATTCAATGATTCTCAGACCATAAAAACAATTAAAATCAACACAATAAATGGATCGGTTTTATAAGCCAAGTTTTAAAAATACATCTTCCTAGTATTCCTAAAACCAGCAAGAGTGGGAAATGACTGAAATTCTGAAGGGAGTGTATTCTATAGTGAGGATAAAGCTCTCAAGGGAACAAAGGAGCAATAATTCTGCATCTGTCAAAGCTTCAGTTGTTATTGTTCAGCATGAGCCCTCAGTGATCATCTGGCAGTCCTCCATTTATAAGATGCTAGACAGCCTTCAGAATGATGGAAGGGCAGAGTTGGCAAAGCTCCTTCTACACCATGTCTTGCATCACTGCAGCAAAGTTTCCCTCAAGAAAATTCAACACTATGCACACTGTCTATTTTGATCATAGTTATATTTAGTTTTGATCGTTTATAAAATCCTGAAAGAGATCTCAGGCTCTAGTTATACAGTATGCACTATTTCCTTGAAACAATTACTGTATACTCCAAACTACTAACACAGAAAAAGAGGCAGAGACCAAATAACCATTTGTTCCTCTTTTTATTTTTTGTCCCTTTCCCTGCTCTTCCCTCCTTCCCCTTACATACCTAAGGACTGAAAGAAAAGACTGACCATGCTTCGTGGTGTGACAGAATGAATTGTATATGCAGAAATTAGAGATAAGAAATTAGGGAGTTGCATCAGGTGGTTCTTTGTGTGGGGTAGGTCTGTGCAAAAGGGGTTAAATATCTAGTATGATTTTATGAATGATATGTTCACACCACACCAGAGGAAAGATCCATCATTTACCAAGTGTATTGTCTGTGGTTGTTGTTGTGTGCAATTAAGTCACTTCCAACTTATACGAACCCTATGAATTAGTGACTTCCAAAAATATCAACGTCCTTGCTCAGCTCTTGCAGAGTCAATGTGGTGGCTTCCTTTACTGATTCAAATCCATCTCATATTCAGGCTTCCTCTTTCCCAGTTGTCTTCAACTTTTCCAAGCTTTGTTGTTGTTGTTTTCAGTGAGTCTTGCCTTCTTGTGAAATCTTATCCTATTTTGAAAATACTGGAAAGAAGATATGGCTGCTGCCAAGATGGTCTGCTACAGGATATCCTTTTATGCTCACTACCATTCAACACTGTTCTGAAAATCACTTTATGTTTGGGTGAGAAGTGGTTAACGGATG